CGTTTAATGCTTATGAATTAAGATGACTTGAGTGTAATTTGTTCAGTGGGTTAGGATGACTCAAGTGTAGAAAATAGTGTAGAAAGATTCTCTGTGGGTAGCATGCAAAGACTTATGCTTCAGTATGTATATGCAAGAGCATTCATTGAAGAAACAATTTCATAAAAGATTTCAAAGCATTCTTTTACTATGCTTAAAGTAAGGTTAAATTCTTTTACATTCTTATAGTATGGTTAAAGTATATTAATAACATTGTTGAATGCTTAGTGTCCATTCATTGGCCAAGTTAAGGCTCTGCATCTTAAAGAATGAATGTGTCTAGTTTAATTTTTTTAACTTCAAGCCTAGATAGCATTGAGGTAATATTGCCCTGATTAGAATTAATCAAGAATACTGGAGCAATAATGTGTTGAGTCTGAATTCTAAGGCTTTAACGTAACTATTGCTTTCACATATGTCTAATATTTACTTGTTTGTCTGTAAATAGTGCAATGGAATCAGTATCTCAAAACCAGATAATATAGTTAAACAGTCAAACTGTTATCAAATAAGTCACTGGAGAAGCAACTCAATCAGTGGAGAAATTTTTTAATTAGCATATTAATTATTTGTGAATGAAAGGTGATTTCAAAGTACTCTAGAGAACTTGAAGACATTGTAGTTTGTCTTTTCATTCTATATATCCAATGAAATATTTTATGCAATTAATTTCCAATAATCTAGGGGAAAAGGTTTTGCTCATCAAAGGAAAACATCAGCTCAGCTCCTGCATTAATTAGCACACATTCTAAATTTGTAGAACCTGAATTAATGAGGCTCAGGCTCCTCGTTAATGATATTCATTGAATAAAACTTGGACTGACTAAGTACTCTTGTGAAGATTAAAATACATATACATATTGTCTGTGGGGCGAATAAATTTTCAAAGTATGCAATTATCAATATTATAAGGGCCTTACTCCACTATCTATAAACACCTTAATTATCTTCTACATGTCATTAAGGTGAGGCTTTTGTAAAAATTTAGACTTTTTCTGGATCAACCACCTTTGTACACCAAATTTCAGGGCTTATAAATGATTGTCTTTAGGAAAAAGAAAATTCTCCCTCAGAAACCCAGATCCCAATCAAAAGTAAAGACATGTCTTACTAAACTATCATTAAAATGTAATTAAGCCGTTCAATTTGAATTTTTATGGAGTTGTTTATGTTTCTAATTGATTTGCTCTTTAATGCCAAGAGGAGATGAAACAGGGAAACGGAATGGTACAATATCTACTTTGTCCCCCACCCCGTTATCTAACCTTCTGGTTCTTTGCTGATTCATTTACTGTGCCTGCAATTTTAATTTCAGTGTCTACGTACACCCTCACTTCTTCTACAAAATCAGCCACCACATTTGATTACTGCTTATCATGAGCTTCTCTTGTATTTTGACTGCTTAAAAATCGACAGCTCCCTACCTTCCTCAAAGTTGTACTGTTACCAGGCACTTTCCTTTGCTTGACTCATGATCACTGCGTACCTTGAATCCTGTTTTGTTTTTATTTTGCATTAGAGACCATGCCTGGTGTCTGTTCATTTTTTTCCAGATCATATTTTTAGATTAAGTAAAATCTAAAATAGGTATATCATTCATTTTAAATACATCAAATTCTTCTGTGATGTAACAGAATCATATCAGCATGTTAACTACCACTTATACAAAGGCAAAATTACAAAATTGAATCTAGTTCTGATTTTTTTCTAGGGTAAAAATGATCTTTTTAAGTTGCAACATAATATAATGGAAAAAGAAAAAGTTACATAGATTCTGTGAATGAGCCAGTCTTCTAAGAAGCTTTCCTTTTTACCTGTGTTCATCTCCTTCATGCAGTTGACAGGACATTTCTGTTTCTCTTTCTCTGTACTGTTACTATTAAATAAGGAATTGACTGCCACACAAAGGAAAACAATTAGCAAATGAACTCATTCTCGTGTTAAAGTGCTTCTCTTCTGTAATTTTAAAAGGGTTTTGACTTGCTTAGAGATGCTTTTTGAAAAATAAAAAAGGTATTTTGGCTTAAAAAAGAATTAACTTATCTTCTTCAGACATTTACAAGATGTTACAGATGGATTTTATATGTGCAAGACAAATAGTAGTAACAATAGGAATAAAATAATGCTAATACTAATACCTTTCTGAGCTCTGGGCACTATTCTAAGTGTTTCGCGTGTAATAATTTATTTACTTCTCACAACACCCTAAGGAGGTAGGTGCTATAATTCACTGAATGTACAGAAAAAGAAACTGAGGTAGAGTGAGACTGGGGAGTTCTCCCACTTCATAGAGACTAGTTGCAGAGCCTAGGTTTAAATCCAGGCAGTCTGATGCCAGCACTGACCACTGAGAGGCATTTAATGAGAACTGTTAAATTTTCTATCTACCTATATCTATATCTATCCATATAGATATAGGTATCGTTACCAGTTTCCAGAAATTGTGTTTATTTTGTTTATGCCTCTGGAGGTTGAGCCCAAGGAGCACTGAGCTATATCACCAGCCTCTATTTATTTTTTAGTCTTAGTCAGGACCTCACTAAATTGCCCAGGGTGGCCTCAAACTCTCAGTCTTCCTGCCTCAGTCTTTCAAGTAGCTGAGATGACAGGCATGCGCCCAACGAGCGGTATTTTTAAGCTATAGAATTGCACAGAGAAATCTAGCCGTCTACAAAGCTAACATGAAATATGAATGGACCATAGTCGTTCAGTTTCACAGACTGAGTAAAATATGTAGCGGCCTTCATTCAAGGCCTCAACCTTGTCAAGTTGGCACAAGAATCGGATTTTAGCAAAACTAGATGTCATACTTGGAAACGCTGCCTATATTTGCATCACTTTAAACGCTCATTACCCGCTAAGAAAAAATGACATACTTGACATTTTGGTATCTGTGATATTAAAAAGAACTAATATTTAATATTCAAGTGGCAACAGCTTGTAGAGTTTGCATACAGCACCCACAGGGATCGATTTTTCTTTAAAGCAGCCTTTAGGAGTCAGCCTTTTAAGCAGCTGACACCTCCGTTCTCTGCATCCCTGTTCCTTGCCAGTGCCATGGAGCACACGCGGAGTGCAGCCGCAGACGTATAATTCATCACTGCAGGATTTGTCTTTGCAAATAATAGAGAATGTGGGAAATTAAGAAAAATGTAATTTCCACTGAATCAACCTCAGTGCAATCTCTGCTTCCAAAAATGAATAAATATCTTCTGAGGGCTTTCTTGCACATGCCCTCTCAGTCCCCTCTATGCACCATCCACGTGGAGAGAGAAGAATCATCGTTACCTAATTGATCATCAGTCATTCCACACCTGTACCAAGGCCGCATAATGACAAGTATACAGTTGCCTGGCACTTTTCCAGCAAGACTAATTGTCACAGTACTAATTTACTCACCTGTGGAATTTTCAACCTCCCCAGTCTGCTGTCAAGAAGATGTATAATAATGGAATAAAGGTTTTAAAATGCTGAACACTGTGAAATCTTTCACTTATCTTCCAACAGAAAGCTTTCACAAAGCCACATGCTAGATAGCTATGATTACTCACTGCTGGTGTAAAAAACAGAAATCTTGGTCACATGTGCATTTGTGCAATAGGATAATAGGAGTCAAGTGAACCAATTTTTACGGACATAAAAAAATTACTGATCAGATTACCTAAAACATGTTAATCTGTATGATTTAGAGTGAATGCACTAGTTTAATTATTGTTGTGTCCCACATTATAAAACAATTCTTTGTAATTGTTATTGTTGATTTTATTCAGGAAAATATTTCCCTACATCAAATACTAAAATAAAAGAGTCACTTGTTGGAGTTTTTTTTCTCTCTCTCTCAAGAAATGTGGAAACGTAGGCATATATGACTTTAACTGCATAAACTAGCAAACCAAGTTGGGGCATCTTTGCCAAGCTGTCTGCATCCAGGATATTTTAAATGGTAGGTTGTGTTCTTGAAAATTAATATTTGCTGTGGAAAATTATTACCCGCATGTAAAATAGCAGACTTTTCTGGAGATTTGCAGTCAGTGGTCCTCATCGTGATACTGAGATGATATGCTCCATGCATCTGTGAAAATTACACAGAGATTGTTTGACAATTTTAACATAGCTGCTTGATTGCTTATGATACAAGTGAAATTTAGATATAAAATTCCAGGGGTTGTCTAAAGAAATTTGAATCGAATTGCTCAATTAATTCTGATACACTTAAATATCAATTCTATGAGTGTTCTTGACGCACCCTGTAGTGTCAGGGGATCTCGTATGAGGATGGGTTTTCAGGTCAACTTTGGAGAATGCTGGAATATGTAAAGGTTTATTACTATCATTGCACAATATCACTTCAGAAATTTCAGTGTGCTAATCTGCATTCCAAAGAGAAGGCGTGCGGTCTTTTCCAACCTGATTTGACCCAGCCTGTTCCCTCACAGCGCATCTCTGCAGTCAAGCGTCTGCAGAATAAGCTCGGCGTTGCCTCGTGCCTGGCACATCCCTGGTGCTCCCTGTATCCCAGCGAAATCTCAGCATGATCCACTTTCAATGGAATTGAAATTGTCTGTGATATCCTTTGCCTTAGACTTGTTCATGAGGATAAGTATGCAAATAGAATCCGAAATACAAACTCGTTTCTTCTAACCAGATCTCAGCCCACATATCTCGAGGTAAAAGAGTAGTGAAGCAATCCATTCTGGCATGTTGACCTATAGCAGTGCTATTACTTAAAATAGGATTTTTTTTTTTTGAGTGATAGAAAAGGAAAACAGCAGCTTTCTCCTCAGCACATGCCTTCCCGTTAGCACATCTAAAAGAACGTTTTCCTCGTTTCAAAATTGATAGCCAACTTTTTTTTTGTTGTTTTGCTATTCAAATTTCTGTCCTCTTTTTCCAGCCTGTTTGCTTTAACACTGAATTTTAAGCATCTCTAAAAATGCTTGATATGTTATTATTCTTTCCAGATATCCTCTGAGAGCCAAGCAGAGAACATTAAGGAAGGAAGGAGGGATGAAGCTGGAAGCAGCGCAGTAAGCGGAGGCGCTTGAAGCAGCGGGCCACTCACTAGCCGGAGACTCCACTGCCGCCAGCATGAGAACTTACCGGTACTTCCTGCTGCTCTTTTGGGTTGGTCAGCCCTACCCAACTTTCTCCGCTCCATTGTCTAAGAGGACTAGTGGTTTCCCAGCAAAGAAAAGGGCCCTGGAGCTCTCAGGAAACAGCAAAAATGAGCTGAACCGTTCAAAAAGGAGTTGGATGTGGAATCAGTTCTTTCTCCTGGAAGAATATACGGGATCGGATTATCAGTATGTGGGCAAGGTAGGATTCCTTGGGCACTTTGACCTCCTGGGTTTAAAAGCCTGAAGAAGTTACTTCTAGTAAGTAGACAGGGAGGCTGTGAACTGTTCCCCAGTGCAGTAAGAATTGTTGCTTATCTGGTACGACTTTTTTTTCTTTTCACTTGGGTACTTTCTGGAAGAAGACTGTAGCACGAAGCTGAGAAAGGTTAGCGGCGCAACAAAAGAAAAAGAAAATGCTCCAGTGGAAAATGAAACACCCACAGCCATCTGCATGGGATTATCATAAATCCTTTAATTTTTACTTTAGCTTGAAAATGGGGTCCGGCTATTCTATAAAATTGGGCGCATTAAAAATAGGAATAGAGCGATTACGCTGTACGGGAAAGAAGAAGCCTTTTCCTCATTTTGAAAGCAAGCATTCTGAGCTTGAGTTCTTTGGCTAAATTCAAATTAACTGTTGCTCAACTCTGTTACCTGTGTCACCCTCTGTTCTCTGACCAAAGCCCTTTGTTGGCAAAACCGAGCTCTGGCGTTAGATTTGGTGGTGGCTGCTGCTGTGATGTGTTCTCTCTTGTAACTGGCAAGGACTAGGTATTTCAAATTCTCATGGTTTAATTATGGCAAGACTGACAAAAAGGGAAAAGTGGTTACATAAAGGTGGTATTTCTAAGTAGCATGTGGCCATTTTATTGACTCTAGAAAGTAAAGTGAGGAGGAATGGTTATTTTAGCCCACACGGATTCCTGGAGCTGAATCAGAGAGGCAGCTCTGTCCAGCTGTCATAGTGAGTGTCGCTGAGATTGTCATCAACTACCTTCTTATTGCGGAATATCTGCATACGGCAAAGGTGTGAAAGAAAAGCCAGAGCAGATTCTGCATCTCATAACGTGGCACTGGTAAGGAAAACTATTGCCACACATCCTTTACTTAAACAGGGAATGAGCATAAAATACAGACGATAAAGTGTCTTCCTTTATTATCACAGCTCGGATTTTTAAAATACCTGTATGAAGGTCTCATGCAAATAATATGAATTTTGCAGAATCCAAAGCCTGGTGTTCACACTTCAATCTTTGATCAAATATCCTTGAATAACAGTGTGCAAATATTCTCTTTAAGTATTTACCACTAGAAATGAAGGAAAGCCAACCATGGCTTCGGCTGAGGTAACCAGGCAGTGTTCCAGTGCAGTGAATTATTAATGTGGAATAAAGTAGGAGAGGAAGTCTTCAGTGAGGGATGAACTGCCACACGGGTCCCCCAAGGATCTAGCCACATATTTGCTGTGAAACTCACACTGTGTGACTACTGAGGACAGACAATTCATTTACTTGTACTTCATTTCCTTTGTGAAACTTGAAAAACACTGCATGAATAGCGTGATGATTATTTTTGAAAACCTTAACTTTTTACAACCCAAATAGCATTGTTGCCATAGAAGATTAAGATTTTTTGTTTTTGGTACTGGGACTCGAACTCACGACCTCATGCTTGCCAGGCAGGCGCTGTGCCCCTGACCTATATCCCTGACCAAAAGTGTAAATTTTTAAAAAGTGCTTTCTGTGAGCGATTGATCCCCAAGCCTCATTTTTTTTCCTTTCTGCTGGTCTTCTCAAATTGTGATGCCATTTTAATATCAATAGCGCTGGAGATTTTTAATGAATGTCCAGGAAATTTGAGAACACGAAAAACATCAGTAACTAAAACTGCACAAAAATCAGTTTTACAATCATATGTGAGAGGTAAAAATTGCCACTGGGAGAAGTTGCAAGCTGGGGACCCAGGCAGATCACTGCCTTGCCAATGGCCAGTTGGGGCCCCTGGACAGGTTGTTAACCTTCCCAGCCTTCAGTTTCTGCATCTAGAAAATGTACACAGCCATACCTACCCTATGGAATGGCAGGAAGGAGTTCAATGGGACAATCACTGTGGTTGATACTTAGTAGATACACAAAGAAGTGAAGACCCACTGTATGCATGCTGTTAAATCCATGTGTAATGCACTGCTGTAGAATAGTGACCTATATCACTGTAGGAGTGAAGTGGAGTAATGAACACACCTTGGTGTTTAGAAATGTGGAGAATCGTGGTAGATTCACAACCACAGCGCTGACCAGACTCATTGGATTTGGAAAAATTATCGGTAGCTTGATAAATGGCCTGCCTCATCATTGTCTGCTCTGTCCCATGGCCTTTCCCTCACCTCCCTGCAGTTATAACACATGAGCGTAATTAGCTGGAGAAGAAAACATCACTGGTGATAACTGGAGTTGTCCTCACCGCCAGCACCGCTGCATGCGTTAGGTGTAAGCGGTGTTCTTGAACTGTTGAGGCAGCATTTTCCCAACCGTCTTTGAAGACAATTTTTTACTATAACTAAAAATAGAAAAATATTCAAAGAAATTTTAGAAAAAGAAAAGAAAAAAAGGGGAGTTGTCCCTTATTTGTGCTACTAAGTTGATCCACCTTTAACTGACATGGAAAAAAAGAGACACCCTGGTATGATTATCCAGCTCCAGCACATCAGGAAACTTTAGGGAGAGAAAAAACTTAAACTAGAGCAGATTCCAAAACTTTTCGGGTTCCCAGAGCTCTTTTTTCGTAGTTTGCAACATAGTACTCTAATCATTTGAAAAAAAAATTAATACTCATATGTTGACAGGAAAAAAATTTTTACTTCACTCTTAAATAACCACAACTATGTACAGCTGGAGGGTGTGTATCTATCGGGCACTGCACAGCTTCCCCATCAGACCAAATATTGCCCCCCTTGTTTAGTCTTCCAACTGATTTTTGCACTGTAATTGCTTTTCCATCGCTGTCACTGTGGGATTGACATCATCAAAAGGAATGCAGCGCCACCTACTGTAGAAACTGTGCATTATCTTGAGCTACTAATTTTCTTGAGGGCTGAGGAAGGTCACGTGGTGCTGTATTGTCCATGAAATATTAGAATACAGTGTTTCCTGGTGAGTGTCTGGCTGCGCCCTGGACTGCCTCTGTGCACACTTTGGAAACCGTGAGACCATAGCTGATGGCATATAAAAGAATGCAAAGTCTTAAAGGACGTTTAATCGTGCTAGTAACCCTACCAAATTATTCAGAACCTAACACGGTTGCCTAAAACTGAAAAGATTACTCTGATCTGTACGTGGAAGGATAGATGCGTTAACTGAGGAAAAGTAGTGCTGTTGAGCAAATAATACTTAGAGCTAAAGAAAAATATTTTTCATTATATGCATTTGAGTTGATTTTCTCAGCTTATCTTGGGATCATAGTGATAACAAGACTATGATGGAAAATGGGATAAAATGGGAGTAGGAAGCAAAAAAAGGAGGGGGGCGGGTCACAGGAGTCATAGGACCCAAAGAGGGAGTCTTGAGGCTGTAGCAGCAGTAAAATGAGTAGGCAAGGTCGCACTCTGAAACGCCAGCACAGCAAGGGCCCTGAGACCGTCCTCCTCTTCTGGTCTTCATCCTCCTCAGCGTCCACTATATTCTTTCTATAACCAGTGAGATTAATGCAGTAAGAAGAGCGGGGCAGAAGTGGGAGGAATGCACTCATTGATACTAAAAGTGGTGAAGGCCAGAAATACCGACTGATCAAGTTCTGATTTATGAGAAAATGCCAACAATTCTATACCTAAAATGGCGGCAGGTAGGAGTAAAAAGACAGAAGAAGTAGTCCTGCGTTGGCTAAGCGTTTATGAGCTTAAAATGTAAACGTAGGTGGCACAGAAACAAATGATTTTTTTCTAAAATGCATGACCATGCGGAGACGATCTGAGTTGCTTTAGCATCATCAGCCTCCACGAGAGCTTGCTGGAAGTGCGGAATCTCGGTCCTCCCTTCAAATCTCCTGACTCCAATTCTGCATTTTAACCAGACCCTCCAGGTGAACTATTTGCACATTAAAATTTAAGAAACGCTGCTTGAAAAAATAACTTACCTGGGTCTTAGCACCCCAGAGATTCTGATTTAGTTAGTTTCTGATTAAGTATTGATGATGCTAATCTGTTGCAAAATTTGAAAACCACAGTCCTGGGAGGATTTTGTTGCCAATCACGATAATAAAAATGCAGCAGGTTTAGTGATAAAGATGGGCAGCCGCAAAGTAGAAGGGAAATATGAAGTAGAGAGACCAACAACCCTCTGGGGCGCCACAGAGCTTCCCAGAAGAGGTGATGATGTTTCAACCCCACCTTAAAAGCAGAGCAGAGAGAGGCTTCCCAGGACCTCCCAGTTAATAGGATGTAGAAGCCAAAGAAGAGAAAATCCAAAGAGTTAAAGATTTAGAGTGAACAATCACTGTAGTGAAAGTGTCATTACTGATACAGAAAACACAAAACAAAAGGTATGTGTTTTCCTACCACAGGCTAAAGGGAAATAATGTTTGATTTTGTAGAGAGTCCACTTGGGCTATCTCTAGCTTAGGCAAACTTCATAGAAAAATTGGAAAGAAGTATTGTAATACCACATTTTCAGAAATTCCAGTACCCTGCCAGCCTTTCATAGTATAGAAATTCTTTGATGATGGTGATGGTAATGGTGATGGTGTATAGTCTAAAATTATATTTCATACAAAAAAAGAACTTAGATGGCCACAGATACAGATTAGATTTTTGAGTATGTGGGCATGTATTAATATACAGATGAACATATTAAAATCTCAGAATAAGGCCTAGCTTTCAGCAAAAGTTTCACACATTATTTAACAGCTCTTGGCAAAGTCTCCTCTGCTTTTTCTTCTGCAATGTTTTGTATCCCTTCCTTCCACACAATGTACACATAAGACAATTCTCCATTAGAACCATTTGGCATGCTTTTATTTTTTGGAGCATATCAAGAGATCTTGTTTTATGGAGCTTAATAAACTGTATACTTTTTTAAAAAATATATACTTTTATAGGTATTTTCTGACGTTAGCTTTTCGGAAATAAGTGATGATTTTCTTTGGGGGCGGTTTCCTTTTTTTTCTTCTTCTTCTTTTTTTATACCAGGAATCAAACGCTCGATCTCG